CATATTCTGTAGGACACAAGGGAGGGGGCATATTCTGTAGGACACAATACATCCAGCAACTGAGAGCTAGCTAGCTGTTCTTGCACATACTCCTCTCCTTGTAAGAACAAACATCCATTTCTTATTTAGTGTATCTTTGAATAAAGACGTTCAAGTAATGTAAGTCTTATTTAAGACCTATAAACAAACATTTGAAATGAAAAATGTTTGTGACAGAAATTATTTTTAATAAATAAATAAATAAATAAATTATTATTATTAGTAATAATAATAATAATAATAATTATTATTATTATTATTATACATTGTAGTGGCAGTAGTAATTGTTGTTGAAGTAATGTAGTTGTATTATTGTTGTTATATTATTATGATTATTATTATTATTAACATTATTAGTAGTAGTAGAAGTAGTAGTAGTTAAAGCAGTATTGAAATTAAATAATATTATTAATAACATTATTATTATTATTATTATTATTGTTGTTGTTGTTTTATTATTATCATCATCATGATTATTATTATTATTATTATTATTGTTGTTGTTGTTTTATTATTATTATTATTATTATTATTATTATTATTATTATTATTATGATTATTATTATGATTATTATTATTGATATTATTGTTATTGCTATTGTTGTTTGTTTTTATATTATTATCATTAGTAGTAGTAGTAGTAGTAGTAGTTAAAGCAGCATTGCAATTAAATAATAATATCAATAATAACAGTATTATTATTGTTGTTATTATTATTATTATTGTTATTGTTATTATTATTATTATTATTATTATTATTGTTATTATTATTATTATTGTTGTTGTTGTTATTATAGAAGAGGTTGTTGTTGTTGTAGTAGCAGTGGTAGTTATTGCTGTGGTAGTATTGAAATATATTATTACTTTTATTATTATTATTCTAGTAGTAGTAGTAGTAATTGTAGAAGTTGTATTTCCTTTCATCAGTTTTCTTCTGTGTATTTCTAAAGATAAAGTTAAACTTGACTCTCAGTCCTCCAGTATAAGTGTCTCTTTTGTGGCGCTCCGTGAGTTAGAGTTTACTAAGCTGAAACCTCAGCCATCATCGGAACACTCCTGCACATGAATGTATGTTTTATACTTACTCACTCCTCGTAAAACCCATCTAGTTATTGGTTGCCCTTGGGGGCCACATCCTAACAAAACCCTGCCGTGTGCCCCCGTCCCTCCACCTACTCCCTCCTCCTGCCCTTCAACCCAGAAAAGGCCACCACCGCAGCGCTGCTCCTTTTAATTAAAAGGGGAACGGCAGTCAGGGTGCAGCCACCCTCACAGTCAGCCGGATATGAGGAGGAGCAACTGAACCTCCTAACCCTGGGCTTAGATGTATCAGTTACTGTAATTGCAGCACCCTTGGGACTGAGCAGCCTTCAGACAAAGCTGTCTGGGGTCAAGCGAGAGATTGCCAAAGGAGGGCAGTGGTGGCTGAAGTGTGGAGAAAAGGCCACAGAGGGGGGGGTTGGGGGCAACAGAAAATCTATGTTTCCTGTGAAACCCTATAGAGAGAGTCACAAACAAGACCTACGGGGAGCTAAGCCTCCCTCCTCTTCCCTTTTTAAACCTTCCTCTCCTTCCCTTGAAGTGATCTCTGAAGTGTACTATTGTCCTTCCCTTCTAGGTACAAGTCGGCACTCGACCTCTTGGCCCTTACCTGTGGTGATATTTTGGAATCCCATTGCTGTGAGCCTCTTGACATGATTGTTCATGAAGTGCTCGGTCTCTGACATCACGCCGTTGCACCACAGCAGGAGGTTAGTGAAGACGGCATGAATTACACCAAATCTGAGGAGACAAACGGCATGTGGAAGAGTCAGGGACCTTGCAGCTGCACAGTTCAAATCTGTGACACAACAATGTTCTAACATGATAACTATTTACCTCTCGAAAGTTTCGAAGCTCTTGATGACATCCTTGATGTGAAACCAAAGAAAATGCACCTGTAGAGAACATCCCCCCCAAAAAAAGGACACGACAGTTTGAACAACTCATAAAGCAATGCCACAAACGAGTTTAGAGGTTTAACAATTTGCATACATTTTATGTACTTGAGTGTTTAACTCCCTTTTACCACGAGGATTTGCCTTGTCCTATGAAGTTACACTCAAATAACATGGAAAATGATAGGATTATATTGTTGCTGCAACAAAGACCACATTATCTAAAGTTCCTTAGTGGCGCACAACTAATAAAGAGCCAGAGTGTAGCGCAGATGAGAGATTATCACTTTATTGAAATGAAGCCAGGACTGGAAATTTACCTGAGCTATGGTGTGAATTGCATGGAAGGCAGGATAGACTGCCAGCACAGCCGACACACAGGAGCGATAACCGACAAAATAACCGATTCTCAGGGCGTCCATGATCAGAGAGAGGACTGCAAGAAGAGTCAAACCACCTACAGAGGAAAAGAGTCACATTCAGTCATGCACAAGTCAAACATCCGCAGTCACTGCTTTTGTACTTTAAAGGCCTCAATCTTTGGAGAAATGCACGTCGCCTGCCACCTTTCTTGTCAAAGTTTCAGAGTACGATGATTTAATGTTGACAAATCAGAGCTGTTTTGGTCAAACGTTAAAATTAATGTTATACGCAGTTTTATGCAATATTGTGAGATGCCTCATTGTATTGTGTATGTGTTATTAATGACTCTCAGCTACTACCACATCAAGTTGTAGCTCACCATCTGTAAAATGACAACAGTTATAGCCACTCTTGTATTTCCTATAAGGCCAGTCATCTGTGGCAGCCATGGTGAAAGTGGCTTGACTCCAGAAGTCCATGAGATGTAGATAAACATTCAATTTGTTAAATTTCAATAACATTCATCTAGTGGTTCATCAGCTATTTGGCTAACAGAAACAAAACAGGCAAAAACATCATCGCCCGCCTTCCCCTATCAGCGGCGGGCGACCAACATAGATTTTTGTATAAAACCTGTGAACAAACGCAGTGATTTTTAGATCACCTCTGATCCAGCATGTGGTGGCGTTCACGTCCCTCTCTGTCCGCGCGCTCCTGCGCCTGGTGCGCACCAGGATGTACCACATCATCCAGAAGAGCTGCAGGATCATGAGGCCGGTGGCGAAAGCCAGCAGGTGCTCTTCCTCCACGGAGGGCTCGTGGTGCGTGATGGCCAGCATCAGCGCCACCCCGATCAGCAGCAGGTTGGTTCCGTACTGGCCGCTGAGGAACTCGCCGTTCTTCCGCGGGTAGTCCCCGGACAAACCCACTTTTAGCTTGGCGAAAATCTTCTTCTCCCGGATGGAGCTGGCGGAGGATGAGGAGGAGCGGCGGCTGTACTTGTTCGGACACATGATGCTCAGGACGCCGCGTTCCACCATGGCGAGTGGTTTTTGTGCAATAGCTGTGAATAAAGAGTCAAAGCTGTGCCCTATAAGTGCATCAGAGAGGGGGGGCCAGGTGCGCTCCAGGTCCCAACAAGGTGCTGATTCAGAAGGATGCAAAGTGTGCCAAACGTGAATTCAATCTTCAAGGTCCGGCTCCGTGGTTACGCACAGTTCCAATGTCCTGCCTCACTAAGGATGGATGGGCTCGCTGCGTGCCAGTGTCACCTTGTAGACCTGAACCTGGAACGAGAGACCGGCTCCTCTAAATAAGCTCGCTGAGACGCATTAAATGAGAGATTGCGTTTCAGTCCTCTGTGATCCCTGACGTCCGCCCCCCCCGTAGCTACAAGTGTTTCAAAGATATCAGATGAACTTACTGTGCCAACCATTCACTCTTAAAAAAGAAGACCCCCAAAGCCCAGTCGCATACCAGTTTTAAGTCAAATCCAACACAGTACAACCAGAGTGCGTCTCCAAATCTTTCAAGCTACCTGAGCGCGCGGATAGGATTAAAAAAAAAATCAAACAAATCCACAAATTCTGAAGATTGTTTCACAGGCAGCAGCTGTTACACCTTAATAACAAATCACCAGCAATAATTAAATAAATAAAAAGACAGAAGTTGAAGTGTCTGGTTGCTGTTTGCAGATATTATCGAGATTTTATAGACGGTCAGAACTTTTAAAGCTCTGGCATCAATGGGCGGATGCGCGCGATTTAAATAACAAAAAAAAAAAAAACAGGACTGCCCTCATAAATAGAGAGGTGTGATGTGAACTCAACTGGATCGGGATTGGGGGGAAAAAAAAAACAGCATTTTGAAATCAGCAGGAGTTTCCTTCTTAATTAAGTATTAAGATCAGAACATTTAAGGGCGCGCATAAAATACCTTATTTGCATAAAAAAGTGTTGTTTAATGCATCTTTGAAATTTAAGTCCGCTTTCCCAGAAGGATAACATTATGGCACAAAGATGTGCGTCACGACTTGTGCACCAGGGAGACAGAAAGACGCGCCTCTCGGAGCAGACGACCACCCCGCCCTTCATCAGTGAGTCACAGCAGGAACGAGTCCTTGACTTTAGCAACATCAAATTCGCCTAAAGCTGAAGGAACCTGGAACAAACACATACAGAACTATTTTAAGCACTTAAATCCATCCGCGCGTCCCGGGCGCAGCACAAACTCTTTCACCTTTGTAACATCCCGTGTCCCATAACTAGACATTTACAAAACATCATCACGTGTATGGAGGGTGGGATGTGACAATAACTGCATTATTAAATTATTAGTCAACAAAACATTTAATACACAATTTAAAAGTGCATTTATTTATTTAATGGGACATTTAATTAATTCATTAATTGTGTATTTAATGATTTAATTATATATTTAATAGCTATGATACATTTAATTATAATGTTCAACCTTTATTTATACAGGTTAGTCTCACTGAGCCTCGAGAACTCATTTACAAGAGAGACCTGTTTTAAACAAAGAATGATGACAATAGACAATCATAAAGGAAAGCATAAAAATTAGACAAAATAAACGAAAGAAAACTATATATATATATATATATATATATATATATATATATATATATATATAAACAAAAACAGCTATGTAAAGTGATATAGGATGCTAAAAACGGGAAAATGTCTGCCTTGGTTTTTGCCATGAACTTATCAGTTGTTTGAAGCCACTAGGTTATGTATTTATTTGTATTCATGTGTATTAGTATATTTATATGTGCGTATTTGTATGTATTTATTAACGTACTTATTTATTGAATTTTGTCACGTTCCTCCCTCCACCTGTGATCATTTGTAGAGTTATTGTTGGTTATTGCAGTCAACAGCAACAATGAAAATAACATGAAGTGAAAACAGCGTGTGAGCAGCAACTGTCTCCTGTGAACGACTTCATGTGTGATTTTGTGACATGTGGTGAGATCTCACATGAGCTGTCAGAGCACTGGGTGTTGAAGACGACTCTCAGATACCACGTCAACATTTGCAGTTTCTGGGAAATTGAATGGTTTAGCCATTTTTAGGTTTGCTTAATTAAGTGTTTCATGCATCTTTGAAGAGGTGCTTGAAAGATAGCTCTTGAAAACAAAAAGTTGTCAGTGTGAAAATGCACCTCACAGCCGAAGACTAACATCCAGCTTGGCTGAGGGGTCATTTCATCAGAGAGCAGGAAAAAGCCAAGAGAATGAGCAGAGATGAAGATGCTTTCAGTGCAGAGGAGACTCGTATGGACCTTGAATAATTTCTGGCCACCCAGAGGGAATATCTGCTTTAAGAAATATCAACACAATCAATTCGTTTCTGTTGCTAATCTTTAACATATACCAGACAAAATGCCACAAAATCATCATCCGGAAGAAGAATAGAGATTTTATTTTGCGTTTTCTTAAAAATAAACAATTTTAAACAGTTAAACTGGCATTTAAAGGGTAAAAATCCTGAAAATGGTTGCATGGTATTGAGCAAGTCTGAAGTTGTTTAGAAGGGTTATTAAAAAGCAGGAAAAACTTGATGTAATTTAATAGCGGTGTTGGGGGGGGGGGGGGGGGGTGTCTGGTGGAAGGACTATTTTTTTATTTTTTTGCCACATAGGTGTTTGAGTGTGCAAAATACATCAACAGAGTATAACAAACATGTTAGAGTAAAAGTATTTTATTTATTTCAAAACTAAATAAAACAATAATAGAAATGGATCCTCCAAAAATATATCCCACAAGCTATAACACAGCCTAAACAATAACCAATTTTTTTTTTTAAAAGACCTAAAAAGCACAAAAATGCTGCAGGAGGGCAAGGGTTAAAACATTTCCAATAGCTCATGAGATATTTCGCTAACAGAAGTACAGCCAGTAGTTATTACCAAAGGTTTAAACAACGGGATTGATGCTCAGCCACTACCACACAAAATTTTAACTCCATATTTGTAAAATTAAATTAACTGTAGTGATTTGTGCTTTTTAAGGTCAGGTGGCTGCAGCAGCTTCATGTTCTTAATTCATACAGGCTGGTCACACTGAGACACAGTTGTTCCATCATGAACTTACTATCTTAAACTGTCATTTACCAGAGGTGGAAAAAGATCCAAGGGAAACACAACAGAACGAATTGATGCCCATGATGTGCAGAGTTGCTATGAAGAGTTGCTGGACAGCATTAATGAGGTTATCAGCAAGCATCTTAATAAGAAAACTTCTAACAGGAGGAAAATCCTTGGATGATTACATGAAAACTCATGAAGAGAGTCACTCACACACTGACATGGTTGTCTACAAAAGTTTAAAAAATAATTTTACCAAAGATTTAAGGGATGCAAAAGCTGAATTTTATATATCTGCAATTA